AATAATGTTTTTCCTGTAGTGGTTTGTTTTATTGGGTCGATTGCATCCATTGCTTAACATTCCTTTTTTCCCCGGCCAGGGGCCCTAGTTGCTAATTTCCCCCCAGAGGCACCTGGGTAACCATCCAACTACCCCCCCCCCCCCCCCCCCCCAAAAAAAAGGGAAATGGTCAGCCCCAGACCCTGTTTGCTTAAAGCGGTTGTGCATCTGTATTGTGCTGACTGTAAGGCGGAAGTGGTGTTGGCAGTAAAATTGTGCATTTAAAAAGTATTTACAGTCATCATATTTACCTCTTTGCTTCTCTAAAGGTACGTATAGCTTACAACTTAGAGAAAGTATAGCTTAAAGCTTAGAATGAGTCTATACTGTGTAGATTCTTAAATTTAGCCATCTCTCGATATATTAATAAGTTGCACTCCATTATACTGTCGTTGTGTTTATCTTGTAAAACTATTTCACTTCCAGAGTCGAATTTAGGACATAAAATGTAACTAAATGTAGTTCAAACTTTTGCATCTGTCGACGAAATCCCGCTATGTGGCCATTAGAATAAGTGTTCAGGTGTACTTGATTTTTTACCACAAAAATAGAAATTAAATTGAAATTTTTGACGTTTAGTCAGCATGCATTTGATTACTTCAAGTAGGCGAACTTTTCGCGATGTACTGTCCTAGATAATTTCAGTAGATCGTCTCGTCTTACGGATAGATCAATAAACTGGTCTGTTTTCACCGTAGTACTTTCATTTTGATTAGATTGGCCTTAATCCGTATAGTAGTGAATATTTACCTTGCCGCTTCGCCAGACGAAGTAAATATCCACCTCTTTCACCGACAAGGAGGTGAATCAGAATAATCGTTTTAGTATATACCACACAAACTGAATAAGTAGTGCATGAAAAAATGTTTTAGTTTTGTCGATTGTGGGCACATTTTAAAATCTCGCTGGCTTCGCAATGCATCGTAACGCTCACGAAGTTAGTTGGTAACGAAGTCCGACTAGGATTTGAATGGAACTGACGTGACGGAACAAACGACTTTAAACGCTTGACGACCTTAAGTAGGAAAATTCCATTGTTTTTGGGTCTGACACTGGAAGCAACGAAACAATTGCAGTCCAAGTCTTCAATGTGTTTCACTTATTTGGCTGCTCGGAGGTGTATCATAGCCAATCAGGGGGTGGAGAAAGCACCATTCACTTGTGTAGAATATGCTAATAGTGTAATAATATAACTGAGTATGCGTTACAACACTGGCTGCATTTTCTCTGCCGTATACTTACAAACTACCCGTTTAATTTATCTTTAACTATATGCGTGGATTATGTTGGGCTTGCGGTATTCTCGTTCTCAGAGTCACTCGACATAATTTGTAACTAGCCTCGTGACCAAGAAACGACAGGCTCTGGCGACGAGAATAAGCCTGTGGTAACTTCGATACCTTCGGTACCAGAAATGTTTTCTCGCGCATGCGCGACTGGATTCTTTGGGCCTTCGGCCGAAGGCCGAACCAGCGAGCGGCAATTCTAGCTTGAACGAAAAAGTGTAACTATACTTTTGTCTATATTATTCAGTCTCAAAGATTTTCCTTTTGTTTTTTCAGACCACAATGGCATCTGCTGAAGTACCCGAATGTTCTATCTGTAGTGAGCATTATGATCATGAAAATCGTTTTCCTCGTCTTCTCAGTTGCGGTCACACTTTCTGTTCCACCTGCCTAGAGAAGTTACTCAAGAATAATTATATTTCTTGTCCAGACTGCAGAAAAACAACCTCTGTTCCCACTGGTGTTGCAGGACTGACTAAAAATTTTGCATTATCAAAAATGGGTTGCACCACACCCCAATACGTAGAAGGTTTGCATAATTGCGAAGCTTGTGATGTCAAGCATCCTGCAACCTCTTGGTGCCTGGACTGCGATTATGATATGTGCACGACTGCCACTCGCTTTCACACTCGTAGCAAAGCGAGTTGTGATCACAAAGTTGTTTCCTTGGAGCAGTTGGCTGTGTCCGTTTCATGCTCGAAACATAACGAGCAATTCCGCTTATTCGATGAAGAATGCAATCATATGGTCTGTAGAAGTTGTGTTACTCTGATGCATAGGAACCACAGCCTTCTATCTTTAGCTGAAGTTGGTTCAAAGTATAAACAGGAGATGGAAGCACTTGCAGCTCAAGCCAGCGCTCGAGCAGAGGTGATTAAAGATGCAGAAAATCGAGTGATGAATGCGAGTAGTGACATGGAAAAAGCTTACGAAGAACAGCGTGCTAAAATTCAAAACATATTTAAAAAAGTAAGTTTGTCTTTGTTTCATGTGAACGTTTTATTATTTCTTTTAATATGATATCAATCCGTCAATTAGATTACGCTCAGTTGATATGGTGGATCTTAACTCAAGCGTTAAGAGTCAAAAGCAGCACAAAGTCTCCACTCCTTGACCCAACTAATTTACTTGATATTCATCTGCATAATTGTTGATCGTTTCTTAGTCACTCTAGTATTAACTATCAACTATTAACTATCTCAATTGCCAGCACCGTTAACTACCGCTTATAAGCGGAATTACCAGCTGTAATACCCATGGTCCATCTAACTGCAATAAAAAGTACATCCAATAATAAGAAAGCCCCCCCCCCCTTCTGGAAATAAGCCTCCCTCTAGCTGACTTTGAAGTGAATTCGACTATAAATATAATGGCGTTTTGAAGCTTAATTAAAAACCAGTAAAATGCAAAGAGTATTTTGATCTTCATTGCTAGAGCCTGTTTGCTCCCTCGGATATAAGCCCCTCAGTTAATAAGCCCTCCTATAGCCCCTTACAAAGATGTATAAGGCCAGGGCTTATAAGCGACAGTTTACAACATATTTCCGGTTATAAGCCTCCCTCGGATACAAGCCCCTACGTTAATAAGCCCTCCCAAAACCCCTTACGAAGATGTATAAACCCAGGGCTTATAAGCGGCAGTTTACAGCATATTTCAGGTTGTAAGCCCCCCTCGGATATAAGCCCCTCCGTTAATAAGCCCTCCTAAAACCCCTTACGGAGATGTATAAGCCCAAAGCTTATAAGCGGCAGTTTACAGCATATGTCCGGTTATAAGCCCCCCTCGGATAAAGCCCCTCCGTTAATAAGCCCTCCTAAAACCCCTTACAAAGATGTATAAGCCCAGGGCTTATAAGCGGTAGTTTACAGCATATTTCAGGTTATAAGCCCCCCTCGGATATAAGCCCCTCCGTTAATAAGACCTCCCAAAACCCTTACGAAGATGTATAAGCCCAGGGCTTATAAGCGGCAGTTTACAGCATATTTCCGGTTATAAGCCTCCCTCGGATATAAGTCCCTCCGTTAATAAGCCCTCCTAAAACCCCTTACGAAGATGTATAAGCCCATGGCTTATAAGCAGCAGTTTACAGCATATTTCCGGTTATAAGCCCCCCTCGGATATAAGCCCTTCCCTTAATAAGCCCTCCTAAAACCCCTTACGAAGATGTATAAGCCCAGGGCTTATAAGCGGCAGTTTACAGCATATTTCCGGTTATAAGCCTCCCTCGGATATAAGCCCCTCCGGTAATAAGCCTTCCTAAAACCCCTTACGAAGATGGTCGAACAGGTCCACCTTTTTTTTTGTCTTTTTATTTATTCCTTGTATTTGATTTGTTATAGTTTCATGACGCAATAACGACCAGAGAACAAGATTTGATGAATGAGCTGGAAAAGCTACATAGCAAAAAGGTAGCCATACTCACAGATCAACGAGCCCTCTTGGCTAACTGTCAAGACTGTATAAAAGCTACCGTCCAAAGCGTTTTATCGACGATCCAATCCTCTGATAATGCTAATATCCTTTACGTCAAATCGGCTATACAGTCTACACTCAAAGCCGCCACCGAAAACCAATATCTAGTTCTTGAGCCAAAAGCCCAGTTTGCACCAGAGTTTAAAAGCTGTGACGAAACGAGATTACAGCGAGTGGTAGATGCACTCAATAATGTGGGTGTGGTCATGGACAAGTCTACCTGTGCAGAAACAACCACTGCTGCTGGTTCGGGTCTTGAACGCGCAAATCCGGGGGAGGTAGCGTCTTTCAACATCACTGCTCGTGATGCTCAAAGGCTCCTGCGCACCGTAGGTGGCGACACTTTTGCAGTGGAGCTTAAAAACGAATCTGACAAATCAGAAGATAAAGTTACCGCTGAAGTTATGGACAAAGGACATGGAAATTATTTGGTAACTTACACTATCCCTAGAAGTGCTAAGCGGGTTGATTACACATTGAGCGTCCGCTTACGAGGTGCTCACATTCAAGGCAGTCCTTTCACTGTACACATGGCATCATCACTACGCCGCAAGACTTACGAAATGTTGTCCGATGTAGCCAGTAAAATAACTCAACGTTAGTTAGAGCATTCGACTTCTGTGCGTCAATTCAGTTTGTTTACGAAAGCTTGAGTTCCCATATCCTAAGTTTCGTCGAACTGAGAAGCTTGTTAGTTTTGTTTTCACATTACTGCTTACAGGGACTTACAGACTCTTAATCTGTTCTTTAAAAAAAAAAGTGAATCTATACATAAAAAAAAAACAAACTCAATCTCTTTTTTTAAAAAGAAGGACTCAACCTTTTTTTTTTTAAACAAGGGACTCAATCTAAACTTAAAAAAACTAAATAATTAATTATTAAGCAATGTGCACGATGCATTAGTGTTAGTAAGGTCGCATGCTTTTTCTCACTTTTAATGCTCTCCCTTCTGTTGAAAATTCACTATTATTCATTCGTAGACGAAAAATGTTTCTCAAAACTCTCTTAAAAGTGGAATTTTTTTGCTTAGCAATAGTTTTTCAGATCTGCCAGCAACGTTCGCTTTTTTTTTCAGCTTCTTAGCTGTACCACAGGCTTATTTCGCACAATCGCCTCATCTGGTAATGTCCTGAAAAATATGTTCATAAAAGAACAGTGTATAGTGACGTCAAAGGCACCAAGAGCAGAGGACAATACGGGACTATTGGAGATTTCTGACAATTTAACAGTAGTTTGAGAACCTGCTTTTCCTTTAGCTAATAAAGAAGATTGCGATGAGCTTTTTACATTGAGGTCATGTCGGCATGTAGCCTTACCTTTTTATACGGGGCCAACCATTTGGGGGCCTTTGTGGGTGATTTCAGAAAAAATATCCTGCAGACTGATTTCGAACGAGAAAAAAGTGAAAAATTTACCTGGTGGAAAAAGTTCCTGCACTGAAAAAAAATGTCTATATACTAAAAAACGGTTGTATGTTGGGGAAAAAAACTCTATCTCCAGGTTTGAGAAAAGAAATTCTTATCCAAACCAAATCACCCAACCCCCCTCCCCCCACCCTCTCAAAAGCCAATTAGTCGGCCCCAAAGGAAGCAAGCTATCTGTACTGGTACCCAGGAGGCGTTCACACCAAAAACCCCGTGCGGACCTGGACCATGGTCAAAAGATTCCCTACCGTCCCCTCACATGCAGAAGTAAAATGTTTGTCTTGCGACGACATATTTCTCGTCAAGAGGGCGGATCGAAGTGTTGTCGGTGGAGATGTGGTGAAAGAAGTTCTTCCACTCGCTTTATTCAGTTCTTTGCGTCACTTAAGGTAGGTACAAGGAACAACTTCTTTAATAAGAATATGTAAAGCAAGGCAAGGGTTATTTTAAGGCAACAGAATAGCCAAATTCAATCAAATACATAATCGCTCAGCCTGATGGTTCGGACACGTTTTAACGCCCTCAATCCCACAGAGTCAATTACGAAGACATCATGAATCGTTTAATACTATTTCGCGCAAATAGTTTATAAGAACAGATTCGACACAGTGTGCAGAATAAATGCATGGCGCTACCTCATAAATCTTACCCGGCCCTTGTTGTTTTATCATTCAAACGTAGGCTTTACCCTGCGCGCTCCCTTCCTTTTTCTTTTCCAGGTCTATTTGTGAGCATATAACTTTATCTGGGAGTGGTGTTGGTCCTAGGAATCATATTGACTCAAATTCTTGTCTTAAGGCATCTCAGTCTCTCCTTCTTAAGGTATGTATGGCTTGTTTCTTGCAAAAAATCTACTGATAACTCGCACAACAATAGCTTCGGTCATGTATGGCCTGATACAGTACTCTAAACCCGAAAATCCTGCCATGGCATATTTGCGTCTGAATTTCTCCCTCCCCTTTCTCAGAAATGACATGTACTTATACACCTAAACTTGATCTAACATAAGGCCGTGAAACGAAACCTTTTCAGCTATTGAACACCACTGCTTTTTAGCATATGACGAAATGTTGAATATTGGTTCATTTCCATTTCTGGCACTCTTCATCAATCTTAGCAGTGAAAATGGATTTGGTGATAAAGTATAAAATTCAGTTGTTAAATTACCACGATGTCTTGGAGGATATATACCTGGGTTTTCCATCATCTGGTAGGGGTCCTGGTAGAGTATTACTCAGAAAATGATCTAAATATCGCTGGCCGTTTGCACAGTCAAGCGTTCAGTTTGCTCAGGTTGACTTAAATCTGTTTTTGAGTCTTTGAATTTGATTAATGAGCAGTCATATTCATTTTAAGGAAATCAAAAAAATATCTTTCTTTAAAATGTTTAATAAATTTTTAGGTGAATTGAATTTGCTGTGCTTTCAATCATTAACATGCATTTACAGCAAACAACTCTTCAGATCGGTAAATAATTGTAACTACCGATCTTGTGCGCATTGACTGTAACTTTGCTATGAGTCAGCATGTTATTTTGAACCGGCCTTTTGATAGTGAAAAGAATTTACGCGGTTTTTTTCTATTTTGACGGACTGAAATCCTAAGAAGTTTTAACCAAGAATTAAGATGCCTTTTTTATAACAACTTTTTTATTTGTAGAAATCACACAACGTTACACTTCAGGTTTACAACAACACGAAACCGAAACTCCAAAGAGGGGCTATTTCCCTGAATCAATGAAGTGAAAAAGTTATGTAAAACCAAACAAAACAAAACAAAAAACAAAGAGCTATATGCAATAAGTTTTTACCACGAAGTGATGATTATACTTAGTGTCTAAATATATATCACTTGAGTCACAGACCGTCGTAGGAGCAAATAAGTTACCCCTGGTTTGCTAAATTCTTATATACCGGTATTAGTAAAGAAGTACAAAGTTGTTTATTATGTAACAGCAATCCTCACTCATGAGCTTATGGTACCTGCGTTTCATCGTGGTCATCCGAGCCACACGAAGGTCTGCCGGCTGTTTGCAGTGCAGGGCAAAGACAGTACCTTCAGTTCTCAGATATTTTAAAGCGATGAGAATTGGTCTGGCCCTGAGATCAACCCAACCGACCAAGCTTATCCGCACTTGCAAAAAAATGCCATGATTGTTGCCTTCAGGATTACTTAGTTTGCCTGACTGTGCAGAGATTTAGTTTCAACATGTTTTCCGTTTTATTTCAGACAATGGCAACTGCAGAAAGAATTCAATGTTCAGTATGTTTCCACCCTTTTGATGATCAAAACATTTGCCCTCGAAACCTGAGTTGTGGTCACAGCTTTTGTACGGGCTGCCTGGAGCGGCTACTGGGGAAATTTTTTTTAGAACGGGGTGCCAATTTGGATGGGTGCCACCTAAAAAATACCCAAGTGCCCCCCCCCGCCCCCCCCCCCCCCCCCCCCCCCCCCCCCCCGCCCCCCCCGACCCCCTCTCTTTGGCTTCGTCACTTTTGTTTTTTTTAACTAAAAAAAAAAAAAAGAAAAAAATAAAAATAACAAGAAGGGGACAACATGCGGGAGATGGAGCGGGGGCACGAGCCGGAGC